TAACAAACATCAGCAGAAATAAAATCAGGAAGACTAAAGCACTAAAGGTTGGCATATGGGAAAACAACAAAGAGGGCTTTTTGGCTATGCCAGTAGAGAAAGAAAAGAAAGGGAAGAGCTGGGCCCACTACTACGAGAATGTGACAACAAAGGGAGAGATGGTCAGGTCATGTTTTGGATGCCCAAAAGTTACTCCACTGAAGGTATGGACACATTACAGATTTTTTTTTCTTCCTAAGGGAAATTTCTGGATGTAAAGACATCAGACAGTGAGTCATGCCCCGGTCACCTCATGCTTGCCTACTGCATTGCAGCCAGATTCTGAGTACATTCAAGAAGCTGGTCACTACCTGTAAAGCCCTATACGGTATAGGGCTTGGATACTTAAGGGATTATCTGTCTCTCTAGTATCTGCTTGGCCAACCCAATCTGGCATGGAGAGCATGCTCCAGGTTCCACCATTTAAACCAGGGGTAGTCAACCTTGGCTCTTTTATGACTCGTGGACTTCAACTCCCAGAATTCCTGAGCCAGCCATGCTGGCTCAGGAATTCTGGGAGTTGAAGTCCACGAGTCATAAAAGAGCCAAGGTTGACTACCCCTGATTTAAACAATGCTATCTCTCGGGACACAGGACGTGTGCCTTTTCTGCAGCAGTCCTGCCCTCTGGAATGAGGGTCAAACAGCCCCACAGTACTGTGATTTCAAAGGGCCCTGAAGTTGTTGCCTTTAGCCAGCATGACTGAAGTCTTTCCTTTTTCCTCTTTGCTCTCGACTGGATTTGTTACCTCTGTCATCTATTTTGTTTGTTAAACACTTAAAAAACACACACAACTGTAAATTGCCCAAAGTCACTGGGAGTTGTGTGACATATACAAGCCCACTACAGAAAAATTCCACTGTAGCTTTATCCTTGTGTATTAGTATGCTACATGAAGTGATTTTTTTAAAATTTGGTTTTGAGAATAATAGGAAAACAAAAAATAAAGTAAAACTGAAAAAAATAATGTATAAAAATGATTATAGAATAAATAAATCATCCCAATTTAAAAAAAAAAACAACCTTTGATCATATGAAATATTAACTGATTACAGATCCAGCTCATAAAAGGATAATGAAAACTCTGTGATTCAGGTTTTTTCTAACATTGAAGAATTACTTTTTGTTAAATTAATCTCTTTAATAGCATAACATTTAATGAATCTTACCCACTGATAGGTTAATGTGTGATATTTCAACTTTTTATTCTGAAGTTCTTGCAAATAAAAACCAATACTCATGCTGGCAGTATTTTATTTGAAAAAATACTGTAGAGTTAGAATGATCCAAAACACATTCTACCATTTTTGCAACTTTAGGAAACTAAAATTCCTCTTATATTAATCCAGATAATTTAAAAGCTTAACTGGCAATAAGCTGATCTAAAAGCATTAATATCTCTACTTGACCAAGGTTTCCAAAAAAGCACAAAGTAAAAAAAAACACCCTGTTACTTTCAAACTACTAGCCCCTGCCATGTTATCAGATTAAATAACTTTCTAATTGTTTCCATAGCACAATGTTCTTCTCCATGCTATTACAACAGTCTCACTGTAACACATTGTCAGCCACAATTCAAAGGCATGTTCTTCTCCTGTCCACACTGCTGTGAGGTAATAAGATCAAGCTGAGCAGTCATTCTCCATGTGCTTGTTTAATGGGGTGTCACATCCCACCTACAGCTTGATCTTCAGAGTCTTTTTTGTTTTCAGCAAGTCTTTGCAAAGAACAAAAGAAATGACCAAAGTCCACTTCATCAGATAAATGGAGCAGTTAGTGAACAGGAGAGAGGATGAATGCAAGAGCTACTGCCAAGCTTTTGAGGGGGGGTGGGGTCAAAGGAGAGCACTGTCTGTGCATCAAGCAGGAAAGAGAAAAGAAAGAAATGGTACAAACTATTAGGAATCCTGCAATGACCAAAGGATGTAATTTTGTACATGACAATAGCAACCAGAGCCCTGGAAGCCTTTACATTCATATTTCAAATCATCAGCTTTCTAGGCTTTTTGAGTAGGATCGTAAGCTCAAAATATATGGAAAAAATTGTTAAAGAACCGCAACCAGGAATGGCATGCAGGATTTCTACATGTCATGTGCTGGGATTTGGTACATTTTCCCCTCTGCAGTAGAATAAACTGTATTATCTGTATTCCTTAATTGGCACAATTAGCTGAGCAAACTCAACTCTTTGTTTAGCTTTCTGGATTTGGGGTGCCTGTGTGTGTGTCTGTCTGTCTGTCAGTCTGTCTGTCTGTCTGTGTAAAAATGAGCTTTGAATTATTCATGTTTCAGATGTCAATGCAACTGTAGTTCTAAGCTAACCTGGCCACTGCAAGCCCATTTTCAAGAAGGAAAAGACAAATGCAATATATAGAGTATATCAAAGGTCAGTTCCTATAGGCCAGGGCTTTTCAACCTTTTCACCCATTGTACCACTTTTAGGATATGGCAATATCCGAGCACTACCAGTTGCCTAGCAAGGTGTCAAAAACTTGATGACCCGCCCCAAAGGAAAAAAAGTGGTAAAGTACAGGTAGTCCTCGACTTACAACAGTTCGCTTAGTGACTGTTCGAAGTTACAATGGCACTGAAAAAAGTGACCCCCAAGCCACAGCCAAGCAAGACACCTGCCCGCCCGCCCGCCCACGCTCTTCCTCCTGTCCGAGGTTTTCATTGTTGTGAGCATTTCTGTTGAGGATTGGCAGCAGGGGTGGGGTGGGGGGGTTTTGCTTTTTATTCCCCCGTCTGCTTGGTGGTTGCAGCAGGTTTTGGTCACTTCACATGACCCTGGGACACTGTGACCGTCATAAATATGAATCAGTTGCCAAGCATCTGAATGTAAATCACAAGACCCTGGAGATGCTGCAACATTCCAGCTGGTCGGCGCTTCTTCTGGGCTCAGCAGAAGCACCAGGATCAGTGCTGAGCTCCAGCTGGAGCCTGGCGCTGATCCTGGTGCTTTCGCTGAGTCCTGACAGCCCTGCAGCTCCAGCCATCTCTCGCTCAGGCTTCAGCTCATTCCCTCCCCTGCTACCACTTTTCTAGGATGGCCGTGTACCACCTGCCAGGTGCCAATGTACCACAGGTGGTACCCGTACCACTGGTTGAAAAGCCCTGCTATTGGTTAATCAAAATGTTTTATTTTTTGTTGGCCTATAATATTTCTATTTATTCCATTGATCACTGACATTATGCAAAGAGCCACAATCAGTGCCTCCAAATCTAAATATGTAATGGAAAAGTCACACTGGGCAAATGCATATTTATGAGATCTATGTTTACGTAACCACAAATGTGTACCCATATTTATAAATTCAATATAATGACTTCCTTATGAATTGTTTGTTTTTGTTTCTCTTTAGATTGGTGATTAGCTGCACTTTTCAAGCACAGAAAGCCACATAGCTCTCTAGAACATGTTGATAGCAAAGAGTGTCAAGGATTAACAAATGTGTCCCATTTGGATTGTTTATTTCCTTTGTTTTTTCTATAGTTTCAGTGAAGGGATTTTTTTTCTACTGAGGTTGATGTTAGTATGAAATAAGATCAATGGATACACAAATTATAGAGTGCTATTTACCAGCAAATAAAGTGATGTTCGTTTCTTCAGAATTGGGATAAAAAGTGAAACAACATTCTTTTATTAATGGAAACAGTCTGGCTGAGACACATCAAAGCACTGGATTCTTTCACGCTCACTAGAAAATTTCAGAAGCTTAATTCCAACACTTAGCAAGATAAAAAGCAAACTTATGTTAATTATATAGCTTAAAATGTACTCAGCCTCATGGTTATTCCTCTACTCTTGTTAATAGAGCTGTTGAAATTAACAGATCATAAATGTGATCACAACGCTGGAGGCAGAATATTAGTCCATGGGACATATGAGTCTCAAAAAAAACCTCTTGCTATCCCCAAAAGCTAATAATTGACAACAGAACTTGACTGCAGATTATAAATTAATGATGTTATCTGGGGCTGAATAAAGATAACCAATTGATGCCAGTCAAGGAAAGAGCCTTCCATGCTTATTGTCTTCCTTGACATCAGAAGCCTTCTTCAGTTAAAAATAATAATTAAAAAATACTACAAAAAATAATCTTTTGATCAACTTCAGATAACAGGAAGAGGAATCCTCTATTCCAGTATTTTGGGGTCACACCATTATTGGGTAGGTGTTGGGAAGTCTTGACAAGCTGATCTATATGCCCTAGAGAGCTAGGGGGATGAAATTATTGTTAATGCACCCAGATTCTTGGCAGTCCTCTCTTCTGAACTGCGTCCAGCATTGTAGGCAGCCTCTCCCTGCCCTGGCTATGGAAGATGGGAAATATTATACAAGGCAAGGTGGCTTTTGGCATCACACGTGATACTGTGGGATCCCCGGTGTTGCTAGCTTCTGAGGAAGGCCACGGCACACCTCAGTCCATCGTATACAAAGGCTTATTTTCACACAACCCTCTGATTTGCATGTGCAACAACTACTACTGCAGAGAGACAGAGACTACAGAAGTGGGGCTCCAGCATGAAAACACGCCTGCTTTTCCCGATGCACACCTGTCCTTTCATTGATTCCCTGCTGAGCCCCCAGGTTCCAACATCGCTCGCCTTTGTTTTTCTTATTTCGGATTACAACCCAAAGACGCGACGCCGCGGGACTCTCGCGTGGGAAAGGATGCTCGGCTGAAAGGAGCAGCGGGTATTCGCGGGTTGGGACGGCGCGAGGTACTTGCACAGCGGACAGCACCGGACAAGTAAGCCCGATCAGTCGCCGCCCCAGGCGGAGGAAGAGCCTGGCACGAGGTCGCCTCTCTCAACATCACAACACCACAGTTCCTGCCCAACAGCGCGCACACATGCACGTATACACATGCACACACTGAGTTGACACCCTGATCCCTCACACCCCTTAACCCTTAGCCCCCGAGCTTCGCCTTCTGCTCCTCCGGCCCCGCACTGACCCAGAAGATGAAGTTGAAAAGAAAGAGCAGGAACTTGACGCAGCGCATCCCTCCTTGCACTCGCCCCATGGCAGCAGCGGCTCTTCCTCGCGTGCTCGCTTCTTCTTTGGGCAGCAGCGGACAACAACCCCGGCGGTCCCTCTCGCCCAGAAGCCGCGGCAGGCGCCTTTAGCCCTTTGCCGCTTTCCAGCCGGGGAGGGCGCAGGGGCGGAGCCTGCGAGGAGGAGGCGGAGCGGAGCTGCTGTTGTTTAGGGACCTTTGACCTTCCGCTCCCAACGGAGACTTCACCGGGACTCGTCTTCTAACGTAAGGAAGGCTCGAGGGTGCCGAGAAATGCCCAGCTTTTGCTTTTGTCTTAACTGGTACTGGACGAGATGCGCTTTGGCGGGAATTGTACCCGCGTCGAGGCAGAATTCTGCTCATGGGAACCGCCTCCAAGATTACATTTTGGCACTAGACTCGTTCATATCACACCTCCTTTGCTGTCTTCAGGATCCGTTTGATTCCATTAATGCTTGCCCAGGACGTGTTTCTGAATATATATAGACACCCCTGCATCTGATAACTAGGCTGGTAATAAAAGCTACCCTGTCCACATAGCAGCTGTGTTCCCACAACAGCCAGTCGAGCAAAACAAATTCACCATTTTAGTCTAGACTGACACCCGGCAGTTTATGATTCAGTCGAACTGCAGAAAACTGGATTGTTTAAGCAGACTGTAGTTAAATTCACGTGGCAAAAGTTTGCAGCTGCAAACGTGATGCTGTTCTAAAATGTTTTTCTCATATTAAAAATAAAAGGTTTCAAAGCTTTCTGCAAATAGATTTTATTTTCCTAGGGAGAAAAAAATGGCTTATAGTATTATGCACAGCATCACTTTTCTACCAGTAACAAATTTTCATTTTACACTAATACTGAATAGCACTAAAAGAGGCCACTGTTTTTAATGAATATATTTTTAAATGGGAAAATAGTCTCAGCATTCAGTTGAAGATGGATTTGTATGCCTAATTACCACAATAATAAAGTCCATGGTCTGATATCTAAATTAAGACAGCAATTGGAACACTTAATTTATTTGGGGACTTACAATAACATTTGAGGACGGTGCCTTTGTTTCAATGTTGACTCCTGGTGATTGTCTAGACAAATCCCTTGCATTTTTCTTGGCAAGGTTTTAAGAAGTGGTTTGCCATTGTCTCCTTCCTAGAACTGAGAGAGAGTGACTGGCCCAAGGACACCTAGTTGGCTTTGTGTCCAATGCAGGGTTAGAACTCCTAGTTTCTTGCCTGGTGCCTTAAACATTACACCAAGCTGGCTCTTATAATAACTTAATAACCACATACCGGTATTCCCTAATTTAAGAAAAGCTTGACCCATGAAGACAAGTTCCGACCACAAAGCCTTATCACAGAAGGGGCTAAACATGACTGCTGAATCAGCCTGTTCTTACCTCTGCTGCTTTTAAACTATGCATTTGGAAGACAGGGAATAATGGCCTGGATTTCTTCTCAAAAGGGAAACACAGGACAGGAAAGAAGGATGCAACTGCTTGCCTTTCCATCATCAAGGGGGGGGGGGAAATCTCCATAGTGGCTGCACAGTTGGATATTTGGACTTGCTTGCTTCATGGTGGGGCATGGCACTTCCTGGACCAGGTGTGACATTGCCCTCATCTCTGAGAACAAGTGATTCCCATTTTAGGAATCATTAGTTGTACTAAAATGTTATCATGCTGACATCCATCTTCACCAGCACTGTGGCAAAATAAAGGCAGCATAGAGTTCGATGGTCTAAATTTTGTAGAGACTCTATACATTTAAAACAGATTATTTAAAAGGATATTTCAAATTGTTGTTTTTCAAGGTTGTAGAAGGCAGTGGGTGAGAATACGAATTGCATGAACAAGTGCATGAGGACTAGAATGCCTCAGTATAGTTTAACGTCTATTTCAAAAAGCTAGGAATTAAATCTAAGACAAACAAATGCTCTGCTTTTGCTTCCCCTGCTAGGAGAAATGTTTTAATATATAAAATATAAGATTTGGAGTCTGCACATAGAAATGACAGAACATAATCTGCAATAGTTTATAAAGGAGGCTGTTTTGTGCTCTAACAATCCTATGTGGTTTGCTTCTTGGAAAATGTTTCTGATAAAAGTGTTCTGCAACCTGGGAAGTTTCGTCATCTGGCATGTAAATTTGTCTAAATGTTAAAGCCACATCCTTATATAGACAAACTACCATTAAAAGGATCAGCCCAGTCTTCCTGTATATGTATGAAATCATTGTTGGATTATTCTTAGTAAAGGCACAATTTTAACAGCACACAACTCTCCTCATTTATAGTTTAAGTCTAAACTTAAAAAAATCCTTAACAAAGATATGAAGGACATGAACAACTTGTATCATTTAATGATATTTAATCTGGCTCTAATAAACATTGCTCAACAACTGAATTTGGTAGATAAGTTCTATAGCTTTTCCCACATGATAAAATCATTAAAATCCACTTTCTGAACCCAAAAGCTTATTCAGAGGATCAGTTACAGAATACAGAATAACAAAGTTGGAAGGGACCTTGGAGATTTTCTAGTCCAATCCCCTTTCCAAGCAGGAGACCCTATACTATTCCAGACAAATGGCTGTCCAATCTCTTCTTAAAAACCTCTCAACTTCTGAAGGCATGCTATTCCACTGATTAATTGTTCTCATTGTCAGGAAATGTCTCCTTAGTTCTAGGTTGCTTCTTGTCCTGCCTTCAGGTCCTTTGGAGAATAGATTGTCCCCCTCTTCTCTATGACAGCGTTTTAAATATTGGAAGACTGCTATCATGTCACCCCCTAGTCCTCCCCTTCTTCAGACTAGACATACCCAGTTCCTGCAACCAGCCCCTCAATCATCTTTGTTGCTCTTCTCTGTACTCTTTCCAGCATCTCAACATCTTTTATGTATCGTGGTGATCAGAACTGGATGTGGCATTCCAAGTGTGATATTACCAAGGCAGTATATAGTGGTACTAATACTTCACATGATCTTGATAATATTCCTCTGTTGGTGCAGCCTAGGAAAGCATTGGCTTTTTTGGCAGCTGCAGCACACTGCTGGCTCATACTTAAGTGGTTGTCTCCAGGACTCCAAGACCTCTTTCACAGTTATTGCTATTGAGCCAAGTTTCATCTAATCTGTACCTATACATTTGGTTTTTCTTGCCTAAGTGTAAAACCTTACTTTTCTCTCCATTGAATTGCATTTTGTAGGATAGGGCCCAGTGTTCAAGTCTGTCAAGTTCTTTCTGGATCTTCTAAAATGTTGACTCCTCCTCCTAGCTTGGTGTTGTCTGCAGGATCTTGGAAGTAATGGAAGATGCACCATTACTTACTATTAATACAAATGCTGAGTCCTACCATAAAAAGGCGAAGAAAAGTAAATGTCTTGTTGCATGCAAAGAGAGCATGTGAGTCAATTCAACAGGAAGTTGAAAAAAAACCCAAGCTGAATATGAAAGTTTCTTGTTAATGAATGTAGTGGGACTTTCCAGCCCTTTTAGTTTGCACAATCTATCAATTATCTTTTGAGAGAGATCATTGTATGATTGTGCCTGACGTGGAAATACAGAATTGTTCCTCCCTTAAAATCAGGTGATACACTTATTCAGAATAGATTCTGTATACCTCTTGAATGGTATTTTTCCTGTTTCTTATTATGTGATTATACCTTTTCATTTTGCTAGATCTCTTTCAATCTGATAATACTGTTAAACATTTATACTTATTTTAATTTGTTTTATTGTTGTACACTGCTTTGATAATACATAATGAAATAATACACCAACAGTATAAGTATAGATTAGGTAAACAGATCTGACATTTCAATTGTGGTAGCTTATTTAATTTTGTCTCATATTTTCTTCAGCAAATGCTGAAGGGAATGTATGTGCCTTTCTCCTCCATAGCTAAATCCCTGTTAACAATCAGTGTGTTCATTAATAGAACACAATTTCTGCATATTCATAACATGCTATGTCCAAGTCAATAAACTATAGTATGACTTCACAAAATGGCCTGATATACCTGAAGAGCTAAATTGATTGCTTAGTTTACACAACACTCTGAGTAATGCATTATTCAGCCCTACTTTAGCCTGATTGAATATATTGTATGAATCTGGGCATGTATGCTTTTTCCTTACAACAACCCATGAGATGGAAAGGTGGAGATAGAGAGAGGAATTCATAGATTTACTTAGTGAGTCTAATGTCATGGCTGATTAGATACTGATTCTGGATGTGGATCTGATTCTTGCCAGTCCTGGTTTAGTATTTCATGCTAAATTTACTATCTGCATGCAATTAACTCAGGAACCTATTCTGGTAATGGATGGGATGCAAAAGTATCATGAAAAAAATATGAACGTGTTTGTTTCTTAATGTGGTGTTTTTCAGCTCTGTGGTACTCTTGCTACTCTGAATCTCTCTACATATGACACATTATAATTTAGACAAAGCAGATAGATCTGCTAAGTAATGTATGTAAAGGAGACTTTTCAGACCATATTTTGGGAATTCCTAGAGTTATATGCAAAAAGGCCCATAATAGCAAAATAGTTTTCCCAAAATAAAGTTTTTCCAATTACCTTGTTTACTTGCTCATGCACAAGGGAAGAAGAATTGGGATGTCCTGGAAAAAAATGTACTTAGGGTTTGGGGAACAACAACTTCCCATTAGCATACACTCTTTTTATTCTTTTCAGAAATTCTTTGTGAAATGTGGTCTTTAGCAGATACACTAATATTGAAAGGGCTTCCTAAAATCTACTGCCTATCACAGTGAAGTAAAATTAATGCTATTAAACATGGACTGCAAAACTCCGGATACCCATTGGATGGCATAAGGAGAGGCAGAAAACTTTTAATTCCTTGATTGCATCAAATGTGCTACTTGTCCTCCTTGCGCTTTAAACATACGATGGTATGAAATTTGTTGCTTTGATGTCCGGGCTGGTGCAGTCCTTTCTATTTTAGTGTGGGGAAAGTTAAGAAAAGCAACTAATGGATTGCTCTGGCTGTTTCCCTTAGGCCAAGCATTACCTGCTAACTGAAAAAGATGGGTGGGTGCT